TCCACTCACTTTGGCTCTCGGCGACCCACTGCCGAGGGTCTGCTCAGGGAAAGTGGGATGTCCTGGCGTACGTATGCATATGAGGGAGGAGGTTCTTCCCTCCGTAATCATTACGCCATTCCCTGCGGGGCTCGAGGAGGACTCCACAATGTTACTATGTTTGCTGGGGAAATGATGATGGCCAATATAGAGCAAAAACCAGTGGGGAAATGATGATGGCCAATATAGAGCAAAAACCAGTGGGGAAATGATGATGGCCAATATAGAGCAAAAACCAGCTACTTGGGTAAGTGGGTTAAATTTTGCACTTGAACTTCCTGCCAACGTTGGCCCAACATTCGCCCAGTGGTCACTTTTACGTAGGGCCTACGTGAATAACCTACGTTGGTCCAACGTATCCTGACGTTGGAGGACCACGTTGGACCAACGTGAACCCCACGAAAAATGTTATCTTCATAGTATCAGTCGACGATTTAATAAATTATTCTAAAAGATTTAATGTCTGTTGAGTTTTTTCTGTTTCCATCATTTGTTTGACGCTTATTTTTCTCATGTGCTGGAGGCATTATTTGATTATCTTTGTGCGTATGGCAAACATGAGAGAACAGAAGCCTTGACGAAGCTGATAGCTTTCTCAATGAGAGAATCGAAGATCCCCATTCAGCCATTTTGCTGTTCTCTATGGTGTCGCACCCGCTACTCGTAACACTCTCAAAGTTTCCTGTACGCACAATAAGTTCAAGAATCCCAGTGTTAGCACGCTTCGCAGTCATGCATCCAGCATTCAGACCAGACAGCTTTGAATACCTTAACCTTGACAGTCAGGATGTCTCCTTACCCTAGAGGTCTGACTTTCCTTGTAGCACACCAGCATAGATATAGCCTGTAGGAATTACCAGTTAGAGAACCAGCTGGAGACCTAACGTTAGGCTATACTTAGGCCCACCAGGCGTAACATATAGTTTGTGTAGTTGGTATTGGCGTAGGGAATGGGGGGGGTTTACGGGATTAGAACTTTCACCCCACCTTGGGCTTCAGTCAGTGACACTGACAGGCATATTTCAACCTTTCTTGGGAATTCCAATTTTAGCATGCCTCTTCGAAGAAGTATGATGTCCGTTCACAGACCCAAGATGCAAGACCATGATTTCTTTGAAAAAGTCAATTCTGGGTAGTAGAACTAGGGGTATCTACCTGGCTTCAACCCTCCTCCACCCCCCTCTTGCCGATTTCCTGCCTATGTCACTTCTAGTTGGAATTGGTGTTTCAATAGGATTTCGATGCTCGCCAAACTGATGGTGATAAGGTCACCATATTTGCCACATGATAAAAAATAGGCAGTGTCTACTGGCCGAGTTGGCTTGGCCCCTACTTCAAGACCAAGCTGAGAATAATGATCTCTAACATCACTACTAACAGGATACAGTTTCCTGCAGCCCATGAAACACAGGCATGTCTTGCAAGGTAGGGGAAGCTGCTTCGTTTGCCTTGTGGGAAGACTTTGAGCAATCTTTTTCACCTCGTCAGCACAAAACTAGACAGCTCTTCATTATTGTAGTATGTCATGGTTGTTTAAAAGGTCTTTTATCATGTCATGTTTGGAAGTAGATGACATGCAACTTGACTAATTTAAGATGTCTCGTGTTGGAATGTGGGTAAATTGAAATCAAATTTTGAAATCACCTATTAAGAGCTCTTTAATCTACACACAACTTGGGCCTTGAGTGAGCCCTCTACTCTAAATATATAGATTTTATGGATTTTGTCAAATCCTGCATCTTAATAGTTACTCCTTGGTTGAAGTTGCTGAAAAATATGCACTTGGCACTAGTAATATGATGAAAGCTATCACTCTGGAAAAGATCTTTTAGGACTTAAGCCTAATCATACAAATTCTTTTCCACTTCAGAAAACCAGCTCGGCTACAACTTAGAGGCCTAGCTCTCTTCTATAGAGTATTGGTCTCATCAACTGAGATATCACGAGTCAGGTGACTTTCCAGCTTGTCCCTTAAGTCAGAGCTGAGCCAGCTTGGCCAATAGACTCTGCCTAAGAAATATATGAAATGTTAATAAAGAATTTACCTGAAGAAAAAATATAACTGAAGAGCATCAATTCACCACATGTCTGTGGCCAATTTGCCACATGTGGCATATGTATTGGACACCATGGCTCTAAGTAAAGCTGTGAAGGTAAAACCGTTTTTCAGGAAATTGACCATAGCTGATACCTCAACATCCAAGCTCTTGCCCAAGGAAAGGAACTTTAATATGGAACAAGCCTTGCAATTGTTTAGGCTATGGGAGAATGAGAGGTGCAGGTAAGGAGATGGAATAAGGGTCAGGATGGTTCATTATGACACTGCCTCTTATGGTACCCTTTCCATCACATATGCCTGCCTAATGTTAATACTTGAATTACATTTGAGGCTTGACCTCTTTAGAAGACAGTCATATATAATGGCTGTTCCACATCAACTCAACTGTGGTGTGTGCTTCAATTCTGACTTCTTTGAAAATTTGGAGTTAAAAAGCATGGGTATCAGATTTAATTGAAGTTCAACTAGAATAAGAGAAGATGAAGCATTTTGGCACCACTGGGAACTTCCTGGATTGTTATTACATGGTGTTCAATATGTAATTTTCCACCCCCTTATTTTAGTCTGTGTAGTGCCTTAAAAAAGAAAAGATATTAATTAAAAGAGATAAATAAGTACATAATTTATGAGTACCATCCACTATGTGATGTGCACATCAAAATGTTGATGTAATAAAGTCGAAACTTTGTTAAAATGTAGTTCATCAGTCCCTTTGTTATTGTAAAAAATTATTGTAAATACTTGCATGCTTGCAAGAAATGGTTCTTGCTAGTTGCATAATTTACAAATAGTGAAAACTGCTAAAAATATATTGACAATCATGACTGATGCCAATTATAAGAATGTTCAAGATATGATAGGTAGCTGAGTTCTGGTACTCAGGTAGTTCTTGGGGTACTGGTTTAATTTAAAAAATGATGCTATGTTTGAGGAACTTCGCTCTGGGGAATAGTTTTTGGGGGGGGAGATGTTTTTCTTAAATTTTTTGCTCTAAAGAAATGGTTGCTTATTGTACTACAAAATGTACTGTATATTTTCCTATGGGTTTGTCTTCTTTTTATTCTGCTGGATTTCTGGATCAAGTGTGCTGGCCTACTCAGCTAGGTTTATTGAAAGGATATGCCTGCCCTCTATAAGAAAGGTGCTAATAAATTTGACTACCTATATTTAGGCTTAATACCCCACTCTTATGGATAAAAACAGCAGTAAATAAGCAGGTGGAAAGATGCACCCTTCCATCTTCCTATGATTGGCCTGTTGAAACTCTTGAAGGAGTTGTTTATTGCCTGTGGAATTAGAAGGTGGTGAAGAAAACTTTAAAATGATATGAAATTTACAGTGATTGTGGAATCATATTTTGTGTCATGAATGGGAATAGAAATTTCTATATTCAGTCAAGTATCACAGCGGTGTCTTTTTTTTTTGGAATGGGACTTAGAAGGGGAAGGTGTTCTGGCAAGCAGCTGAGATATATTATGTGCCCTGGCAATTTAGGATAGTTATATAGATTGTCTATCCTGTATCACTTAATTTAGAGGAAGGTTTGATGAAATGAGCTGCACTCATTAGACCCTTGGGTTTTACCAGTGAGTTGTCAACCACAATATACAAGAAAATATGCTTGAAAATGCTTTTGATTTTTCTTTCCATTCTGTATATTTTTTAACTTAGTAAATCTAGAATGCCAGAAAAAAATCAATTTAAACACACTTGATGAAACGTGTTGGTCACTGCCCATTTGGCAAATGGTAATGGTTTGGCCAGGATGTCTATGTATGTGCTTGAATTGGGTGGCACTTTCCTTAAGGTTGTGGCATTTAAGTATTTCAAATGCTGCTGTGTTGTGCTCAGAGAATCTGTTGGAAGAACGTCAAATGCTAACTACTTGAAATCCTGTACTAAGCTACTAATGACAGAATTAGATTGGATGTTTTACCCCAAAATTTATTCACCTTCTTTTCAGAGTGAGAGGAAGAAGTAGAAGGTGAAGTTGGATAATACTCATATGGTGTGTTAAGTGACAAAGTGGCAGTCATAGTGAAAGTGAAATAGGCATTGACAAGGAGAAATCTAATCAATATAGGAAGAGACACTAACGCCTTCCAATGCCTACCTCAATGGGTGATGAAGACTCTGGAATGCCAACTTTAGGATCAGTGACCAAAAAGAAAATAAATGAACTCAGGGTGGTTGATTTGCGAACTGAATTGGAGCGGCGAGGACTCGACAAAAATGGCATCAAGGCCATTCTCATTGAGCGTCTTAGTGAAGTGGGTTTTCATTGCCACATTTGAAGTGGCAAGTTTCTACCTTGACTTGTTTCAAATAATCATATTTTTTGGATATCTTTATTCCAGGCCCTGAAGAATGAGGGGCACACTGCAGAAGAATATCTTTTTGAAGTGGATGACTCATCAGTGAAAAAAAAGAAGGGAGCAGGTAAGGGACATCCTCATTGTCTTAAAGTGAGGAATGTGTAGGCTATGATGACAAGCGTTTTGCTGCCATATCGATAAGACTATGAAAAGTCAAAGAAATATGTGACTAGTCAGCCTGAACTTGTAGAATCTAGCCCTTAGTCAGCATAGGCCTGAAAGACGTAGTTAGATCTATTGGAAGTATTGTGGAGGTGAAGTGGTCTATACCATAGATCCCAATCAGATATTTCATCAAATGAAACATACCATTGTTGTCTGCCTCTAGAGGAATAGGTGAGTGAGAAAATGAGCATGTTGAGGATGTGAACCTCACGTAATTTTTTTATGTTGAAACCTGCTCTGTGTAAATGCTTCATGGATTCACCATCAAGTTTAAAGATCATCAGAAAGGGTTTACAGTTGAAGGAAAAGAGGTAACTCAAGATGGAAAGAAGAATAGTGTAACTGTGCTAATTACTAGATTGTATGAAAAGTAAGGCTTAAGTCAAAAGTTTAGTTTTGAGTTTAAAAAATTGCACATTTTGTGTTGTCTTGGTATCAGTAAATTTAGGCTCCATCTTTGAGGTAATCAAGGTATTTTAGCAGGGAGTAAGAAAATAATCACAGAATTCGTAAAATGATGCCAAACCAATTAATTGGTACAATAAGTCTTTTGATGTACTGGTCCTGTGAAGAATCCTCTCTGCTGGGGATTGGAGGAAATTTCAAGAGGACACTGCTTTATGTCACTTGTCAGAATGATTGCATGAATTCTGTTACTGTGTCTACAGGGAAGGCAGAAGACTCCATGGAGAGCCAAGATGGTGAGCATGAGCTCACTTTGGACATGAATGAGATGATGGAATTTGAGGAAGGAGATGATAAGACTGAGCACAAAGATAGTGACTACAAGAAAGAAATTGAATCTTCCTCCTTCCAGTGCAAAGATGATGTAAGTCTCTCCTGAGTCTCTCCTCAACAATTGTGAAGATCTTCAAGACATGGTAAAAAGTCATGTAGATACAATGTCTTTATACCTTACAAATTGAAGAGGATTGCCTCTGCTTCATCGAATTTATGCCTAAAGTAAAAAGCTATAGAAAAAAAATCTGCTGTGTACAACCCTGTCTGAGTCCATATCGATTTTTTTCTTGTTAACCAGTGTTAGTCAAGAGGCTGAAAACTCCTATCCCTGCAGAGGTTGGTAGAGGAATGCTATTGTGATTCAGCATTTCTTAACTACTCCACTTGAAAACAAGTGTGATGATTGCTTCCCCAATACGTGGTCTGCATTCCTGATGTATCTGATAAACGAATGCTTCGTCATGCAGACTTTTGCGAGGAAGAAAAATTGGGTCCATATTTTTGAAATGTTTCTGTTGTTTTCATACGAAGAAAAGGAGTCAAACTTGAATTATTAATTTTCCGCTCTGCTACGGAGGGGGAGCACTATACAAAGGATCCCGGCCTGAGTTAGGCTGCCTGTTTGTTATTGCAGAGAACGCAAAAAACCTGACATTTCTTGCGTGTGTCGCACTCATTCTGTTCGTTTCGCCCAGTGACATGAAATTGAAAAAGAGGAAACATCATCGCATACGTTTCCATTTCTTTAAATACTATTTTTCAGTTTACAATCTCCTCCAGTTCCTTACGAGTGTATGCTTCGCAGTTTCATTTAAAAGAATATACGGAACCTGTTTCTGTCCCTCCCTATTTTTTTATTCTATGTGGTTCAATTTTGTGAAGAGTGATGGAGAATGTAATAGCTTTTTACCTTCGGTATGAAATTCACAGTTCTGCCCTTCCGGTGTGTTTTTGCAGGGAGACAGTAACATCTCCAGTCGCACGGGCACAGGTGAGTCTCTCCTTTATTTATTATTATTATTTTTTTACTGCATGAGTATAGAGTAGTATTGTGTGGGTGTGGTTGGGACAAACTTAAAAGGGGAAAGAGAAAAATTGAGGAAACGTAAAATCTCCGCGGAGAACCTCTTCGGAATGAAGATCCAGCGGACGGAGACCAGCTGACAGACCAAGAAACGAAAGAACCTTCCACCGGCTGCATCATTCTACTGCTTGTTATTTCCCTTTTTGATTTAATTTTATGTAATAAGTAAAAGGGGAAAAAAGGACGGGCAACAGAGAAGAAAAAAAAGAAAGAAATGTGTATGTGATCGCTCCCCCCCGTGCATAGCCTCAACGTCGAGTTCGCCGCCGAGGCCGGAATCCATGCCGGTACTGGCCCCTCTCACGGTCTCAGACACGTTAACCATGCATCCGACAGAAGGACGGCGGAATGCGGACATCGACGATGCCTCAATGATCGTCAATCTGGACGAACAGAGCCTCCGGGAAGAACCGATCTCGTCCAAGGATGACGACGACGAAGACGACGACATGGAAGAGGATAAGAAAAGGAAAACGAAGGGGGAAACGACGACGACAGCAGCGACAAACGAGGAGAGAAAGGCACCTCCCTCCGACCAGGAGGACAGTCGACGCCCCTCTGAGAAGAAAACGGAGGGTGCAGCGTCGTCTACCCCCTCCACCCCAAGCGGAGCGGAATCGAAGAAGCCCAACGTCACCATCGCCACTACTGCCACCACCCCCACCGCTACCGCTGCTGGGAAAGGCGAGAGCCGGAGGTATGGTCGCCTGACTACTCCTTCACACCCACAAAAAATGTAATAAAAAATGTTACTAGTGTAAAAAAAAAAAAAAAATTTGCGGGGTAAGCCTAAGGGTTAAGAATGTCCCCTCCCGAGAACGTGGAAGAAGGAACCGCAAGAGCCTCGTCATTCCAGGGAGGAAAAAAGGGGGTCTCGTGTATGTGGATCCATCATTAAATGAAATGAAATGAGCGGGAGAGCTCTGGAATACAGAATAGCTCATCTGCAGCCGGCCACGCACCTTCCCTCAACCCAGAAATCTATATCCGGAAACGGGACAGGAATTGCTACACAGTCGCTTCTCCTCTTCCTGCTCCTTCTCCCGTTCCCCGTGTTGTGTCGTGTGTACTGTGCCCAGAGTGAAGAGTAGAGAGGTTCTTCCATGGTCCTTCATCCGAGTGCCGAGTTGGAGTTGGTCTTGCTCCAAAAGTTTGCCAATGGATTCCTGGCCAAGTACCCAGTGATAGGACTCCAGACCCTCGCGGCCTTGTATCGTCGGCGTCGGTGGGTCTTTGACTCCTTCAGCTCAACAGGAGACTAGAGGGGAGGAAATGAATCCCTCCATATGCCTGCATTTTTAACCATTCCTAGACCTCACTCGTGTCATGGACTTGTCTTCTGCTTGTGCCTTTTGTATTCTCTCCTTGTAATCCCGTGATCCAATGCTGATTCTATCCTTTTGTTTTCCTTCCCCCCCCCCCCCCTCACTTTTCGTTGGGGTTTAGCTCTGGGAAGTTGCCAGCCAAGGATGAGAAAGGTGCGTTTTCTATGAAGTTCACCTTTAGTCTTAGTTCGATCAAATTCAATATATATTTTGCCTGCATAATTATAATTTCAAGTATCTGAGTTTATGCTAAAAAAAAAGCGTATTAAATTAGAAGTAGGAAAAGAATTTGCCATGACCAATGTGCTGATGAGATGCATATTTCAGATCACAAGAGGACTGCCAGTGGAAGCAATGTGAGCAAGCAGAACCTGTGGGTCAGTGGCCTCTCTTCCTCCACCCGGGCAACTGATATCAAACAGCTCTTCAGCAAGTATGGCAAGGTGGGTTGCTTTTTCATGTTCTCTGTGGTTTACATTCTCTGGAATGAGAAATTTCTTAAATTTGAGATTATGTTCTGGATTCTTCCCATTGTTCTTCATGTTGGCATTGGTCACTTGTGAATGACTTCACTCACACTTTAATTAAAGTTCTTTATAATATGAAAGTGACTGAAAGTTGAAAGCCCCAGAAATAATATCTCGATAAAGTATTTTTTGTTCCTTTCATGCGGTACATCTAGTGCACTCCCAGTAACTTTTGAAAATAGCTCCACTGTGAATAGACCCATAGACCATGGGTCTCATTAGTTGCATGAAGAAATCATAGTATGTAAAGTACTTCGTTGTTTTTCTTGAATATGGCACTTTTTCATTTGAAACCAACAAAGTTTTTCAAAATGTTAATTACTATCGAACTGTTGCATAAAGGTGGCAATAGGGAAGTAGCTCATGCAGCAAATGGATTTGTTGAAATCTAGTAAAGTGACACTCAATAACACAATAAACCTTCAGGGAAAAAAAAAAAACGAAGGGACGCGGAAGGCATTGCCAAGGAAGTGGAGTTTTCCAGGAGATTGACACTCGCTCCAGAGGGTTGGTGTTAGAAAAATTTAAAAGGACATACAGTTACGTCCGTTAGATCTAAAGTGTTAAACTTGTTCGTTAAAATTATTTAGACCTACTTCACTTTTATTTTCTTCATATATGTTTGAACATTCCATGTTGTCATTTCGCACTGCTCTTATCTCTCATCTATTTGTGGCGAATAGATATTTGCGCGAGAGGCAATTGAGAAGTTCCAGGACTGAACGGTACGGAAACCGATATAATGCGCTTTTTTTTAAATATTTTTATATTGACTTGATTTCATGACTTCTTCACATACGTGTCTTTGAGGCATACAAGTTTTACGCGTCACTTCAATGCCCCCCAGCAAACCTAAAACTTCCTGGGGAGTTTTAGGCCTACCCACTGAAAATTTGCCGATTATGTTAAGGAAAGCCATTTGCCATTTGCTTCTGAGAACGGGAAAAAAATGAAGAGCTAAATTTGGGCTATATGGGGTTTGGTTTGCCTTTTTCGGACAAAATTAATCAAAATCACCCCTAGGGAGCCCCCAAAGACTCGTAAGACCTCTGGAAAACAGACGAGAGATTTTCAGGAAGGGACCTGTGTTGTGTTGTCCCCTGATATCTGTCGTATGTTTTCCACGAATGATCTGCGTCGAAGGGAGGGATCGCCTATCTAAACGAGTCCTTGAGAGCTCATATGATACTCCCGAGAGTGAGACAGGAAGTAAGTGGTGATTACTCGGAAAAAAGAACAGCGGAAGGGCGAAAAAAAGTGGGCAATTGTTTGAGAGTCTGGTTTTCCCTTCCGATTCCTCCCTCGGTACGGTAGGAAATGGGAGTGGAAACCTTTCAGGAGTTGGACGGAAACTTTGAAACCCATCTAGAAGAAATACTTGCATTAATTGTATGAGCAAGCAAGAAACAGAAGCGGCGGAAGTCTGTCAATAAAAAAAAGAAAGAACGGGAGTCCATTTTTACGTATGCCTGCTGTAGGCAGAAAGTGAAAGAAGAACCAGAATAATAGGTGATCGCGGGAGGGAGCGCGAAAGGACAGCACTTCCTTATCTTCTTTTTTGAAAATTTTTTCGCTGCTTATCTGCCGTGGTCAGAATGCCTTTCCTGTGCCAGAGAGACAGATACCTGTTTTTTTTTTTTTGTCGTGCTTGGCAGGAGGATACGTCATAGCGGTTAATCAGGCTGTTATTCTGTTAACTGTTAGGACCGCTATCCTCAACACAGGGCTCCAGGAATTTAGGGTACCTGCCATTTCATTCTTGAACATTATTGGCAGGCCTTACTCTGAGTCTCATGTGGAGATACCCTCTTCTACCAATATCTTCAAAGCCACACCTAACGTCATCACGGAAGACTAATGTTTCTTTTCAACAGGATCCTAGTTGGTCTCAAGTAAAGCTAGTGATAATATGAACTCTTTTTCATATAAACTTAGTTTGGATCCACTATACACCTCAAGAATAAATTAATACTTAACAAATTGGCTACGTGCATCAATATGCAGGCAACCAATTGGGTATCACCTCATGGCAGCCATTGTATTAAAGAAGTTCAGGGTAAGTCTTGTCACTAAAATTTTTTTTTTTACCATCTTGTTGACAGGTAACAGGGGCCAAAGTAGTTACAAATGCCAAAGTGCCAGGTCAACGATGCTATGGCTTTGTCACAATGGCCTCAGCAGAAGAAGCAGCCAAGTGCATCCAGCATCTCCACCGCACTGAACTGCATGGGCGTCTCATCTCGGTCGAGCGGGTGTGTTCTTGTCCATATTTTATATCAACTTGTAGATTAGAGACTATAGGTGAATGTAATGCAGAAGATAGCAACTTGAGAAACAATATTTTGCTGGTGTGACATGTTTATGTATAAATCCTTGATTGAAAGTTATGTTTCAATCTCTGCTTGATTCCCTTCATCTCCCAAGTGAAGAAAACTGTGGTTGAGGTGGAACTCAGATTTTGTCAGTAATAGTAGCAATCTCAAGGATTCATGGTAGACTGCAGCTAAGTAGTCTGTTTTAGTGGTTGCATAGTAGAAACTCTAGTATAGGCACATTAAATATTCCAGGGTAGCTGGACATAATGGGCAATATCTAGACTTATGTATTATGAACTAAGTCAGTCATCTCTTCTTGATATTCCTTCACAATTGTGGATGACTTGTTTTCAGGCCAAAACTGATGCTACTGGTGGAAGCCAAAAGAAAGAAGGGGCTGGTGTAGCCAAGGGTGGTGGTGTGAAACGTCCCAGTGATACAGGAGCTAGTGTGACCAAAAAGCCAGTTGATGAGAAGGTGAAGGAGAAGGAGAAAGAGCGTGAAAAGGAGAAAGAAAGAGAGAAGGAAAAGGAGAAAGAGAAGGAAAAAGAGAAACCTGGAAAAGAAGAGAAGAAAGAGAAGGATGAAGAGAAAGGGAAGGAAAAGGACAAGATGGCTACCAAGGATAAGAAAGGTCTGTTTATCACATACATTGTGATGTTAATATTAACCAGAGGATTTGTAACTGATAGCATTCCTTACTTTCTTAGAAGGTGGGGAGGAGGAGAAGGGAGAAGGAGAGCGGAAGGAGAAAGAGAAGGAGCCTTCCATAGAGGGAGATGAGAAAGAAAAGGAGCGAGGAAGGGAAAACGAGAAGGAGAAAATGCGGGAGAGGGTTCATCGATCTCACAGTCGGCATTCACAGGATAACCCAAACGCCTCCCGTGGGCGCATTCACCACCGCGAGAAGGATGTCCTCACGTTCCAGAAAATCAAGGTTGGAGATTGTTCACCTTGTTCCCCAACTCCGTCTTACAATAAACTCTTAAGTGTGATCTTAGGTGCTGTTTTCTGAGTGGAGCCACTGAGCATAGAGCTAAAGGAGTAGGAAAGATATGAGGGCTGTGTCTCTGTGTTAGATTTAACTAAAGTCATGATTTTCCATTCCATTTGTATTTTGATTCTTCACATTAGTGAGGCATCAAAAAAGGACCTCTGTCACTTCCATCATTATATAACCTCTGAGGAGTTGAGGATTGTAGTTCATGACTTCATATGGTGTACTTTGCTTACAGCAAGAAAGAGAACGTCAACGCCAGATTGAGAGAGAGCGTATATTGCGCGAACAAGAGCGACGTCGTCGTGAAGAGGCTCTCCGTTTACGGGAAGCAGAACGACGTCAACGTGAAGAAAGCATGCGTCTGGAAAGGTGAGAACCTTTTCCTTATGTCTCTCAATGATTGTTGCTCTCATTTTGGGAAGCTTCATTGTACCCTTCTCTTCAGGGAGCGAGAGAAAATCAAGATGGAACGAGAGAAGTTAGAGAGAGAGAAGTTGGAATTACTGCGCCTTGAACGGGAACGCCTTGAATCAGAGCGAGAGGAGCTTCGCCGAGCTCAAATGCGAATGAAGTGCTGTGTCCCCCCATTGAAGTGTTCATTTTCATGATTTGGTCTTATGTAATGCATGAATCCTGAAATCTCATCACTCAGGACAGCTGATGTTGCTGTGCGTAGGGCCTACAAGCGCTCGGCTGAGGAGGACCCATACTTTGAGGAACGAAAGAGACAAATGCGTGATGGTCGCTTCGATTCCCGCTATGAGGATAAGAGGTCTGTTCTCAATTCTCTGGTATTCTTTTTGCAGTTAAATTTCGTTTCACCAAAGCATATTTATAAATACGTAGGCTGGAGTTTGAGAGGAGTGGAAGAAAGGAGAGACGCGAGGTGGAAGTGTATGACCGCAAAGTTGAGAGGTAAGCATACTGCATTTTTACTTATGTGAATGTAAAATTTCCTGTTTCTTATGCGGTTCTTCTGCAATGCTGTTTTGTTGCTATTGCAAATTTAGAGAGTAGATGTTTCATGTTTTATGATTTATGATTTATTTATGATTTTATTATTTATATATTTCAGGTATGAGAGTGGTCGCCACAGTGAAGGAGAAAGAGTTCGATCTCGGGAGGAACGACACCGAGGACGAGATTACCCTAGTGGTAAGTAGAATTTCCTTCCTAATTTCAATAAAGACTTCTTGTGTAAGAATGGGGTAAACAATGTGATGTAAATTTTTTCAGCGAGTCGAAGTTCAGAGTGGCGTTCATCAGGAGCTGGAAGTAGTAAGGGAACCAGTGGATATCTGGGAAACGGGACTGGCGCCCCCTCGGGAATCCAAACTTGGGGGGGCGCATCCCATTCCCGTTCAAAGGGAAGTTCAAGTGATCGCCCCTTGTCATCCGTTTCGGCCATCCCATCTGCAGCCTGGGCGTCTTCCAGTTCAGGTTCTCGTGGAGCACCAACATCTAGTGATAGGTGAGTGGCCTATGCAAGTTAAGTACCATGGAGATAAATAGAGGCCTTCATTCTTGGGTCATTGCCCTCTGTGAGGGGGCAAATCTGCAATTCTTTTTCCTCCCAAATTTCTTCCTCTGTAACAAAGATGCCAAGATCTTATACCCTTGTGTGTGTATTCCATTCAAACTGATCATATGGAATCATACTCTGACCCCTGCCTTGCACTGGTTACACCACTGTATATGCAGAGTGTTGCTTCGCTCCCTTGCCCATGCCCATCCTCATCCTATTTCCCTTCATGTGTCCCGATCCACTCTGTTCCGTGGTGAGTAAGTGAACCCGTCATCTTGGGTAACGGGTCTGGGTGCGCTGTCGATGTTTATGCAGTGTTGACGTCCATTCCTTTGTTTTCAGGTGGTACGCACCCAGGAGTGCGGTCGGAAGTATGGCCAGTGCTGCTGCCATAGCAGGTGTTCCATATGGACTAGGGGGCATGTATGGGATCGGGGGACCACGCACGACGATCAGTGGGCTCGGAGGTCCCATGCGTGTCAGTGGGGGATCTGTGCCCTCTGGAACCATGAGGAAAACGGTTGGATCCTCCATCTCTGTCCCTGCTGGAGAACGCTTTGATGCCTATGCTGCCCTCAATATGAGACATTAAAGGGGAGATGGTAATCATGGACTCTTCACTGCTTGGTTGTAGAAATTCCAGGAGGTGGATGGGACCTTTCTGTGCGTGCAAACACCTCAATGTGAATAGCTTGTCATGGATCATTGGATGATTTTGATTCTTTTGGATGGGCTGCCTTGCTAAAATGATAAATTACTGTTATGACAGTCTGCTGCTCTTCATTTCATTTCGTGGATTCTAAGAGCTTTGGGAGGTAGGTAGTGGGAAGATATAATTTTGCTCTTCCAGAAGATATAAATGCCTGGAGAAAGTGGTTTTCATGCATGTAGTAGTACTTTGCTCATGTAGGAATGAGCTATCAAGGATATCTATTCCAAGAGATGTCATCCTTGTAAAGGATCGTGTAGTGAATGTGGATTTTTTTGTCAACTCTTTTTTTTAGTTTGGTAATATTTTAGTTACAACAGATTGGTGAAGTTTTATCCTGTTCATTTTATTAATCTGTAGATATGTTCCTTGAAGTCAAGGCGAAGTGGTGATAGCCTGTCAGTCATGAACCATCTTTTACTGTCATGTTTCGGCACGAGGCAAACCAACATCGCTCTCGTTAAGTTACTTGATCTTCGCAAATTTGCTGAGATCAAGTACGGATCATGCCGTTATTACTGTATCGTCTGCCTCCCCAGTACAGACCCTATTTCGTGTAATTATCCCTTTTACTAGGTAACTTTTATTCTTCGTCATCATCGTCAAGGTGGTTTGAAAAGGTCTTAAACAGAATTAATATTTCATGCAACATATTCACATATTGAAAATGAAAAGGGATAGCAAAAGTCCCCTTAAGAATGTGATGTGCTGTCAGTATTGATGCGTCCAGGATTTTCACCTCCATTCAGTACTTCGCAATTAGAGGCAGCTTGAAACCCCCCCCCCCCCCCCGTTCCTCATCAATCTCCTTGTAAATTGAATTGAGGTCGGAAATCCTAGACGTTCCCTGGGTGTTTTTAGATAAATTGGATGAGTTATTGTGTCACGTATTGGACAAGCTGTGAAGTGGCCTGTCAGGAGCAAGAACGGAGTTTGCGTGAAGATGAGTTAATTTATTGGGACATTCGCGAGTCCAATTGAGACAAAGAGTGAAGCATATTCCCGTGTAGCGCATTGTACTCGATTGCAAGTGAAACTACAGAAAATGTGGCTGGTCCATGGCTCCACCGCAATGACCTTTTTGTTCCGTTTTTTCACCAAAGTTGTGCGTTTGGTTTCTTGATTTCCTCACCCGCACGAATCGCATCGGGACGACGGCGTAACAAGCCCGAAAACAAAAACCGAAGGAATGCCGAATGGCACTCGGCCATTTCGACGCGCCCCCCCCCCCCTCCCCTTCCCCCCCCCTCCCCAGTGGGGGGGGGGGGGGGGGGGGGGGGGGGGGGGGGGCCGAGCCGGGCAAAGAAACATTAATTTTTTTTAAATGTGGTTAGCATTCACTTTATGCGAACTAGCACTAATCGGAACGAACGAAAAAAGTTTAAAGTTAATATTGATATTTCATATGCCGTGCAGCCTCCTACCAACGTACCAGTGAATCATGTCAGTTTCAAAATCGGATCGACTATACGAAAGACGGAAGGGGAAGAAAGTTTGAATCGGAGGCAGAAAGTGGGAAAGGAGGAGGGAAGAAATGATCATTTTCTTCATTTTACTCCATTTCGAAACATGCATCAGTCGATCCCCGTCTCTGTATTCCCATCTCTGGTGTGCACACTCGAATGTTTCAATTACGAAGTTGCCCTCGGGCAAGTTGACTCGCTTGCTTGAATTGGGTCGTACCGATGTCTCGTCGACCGCCGGTGTGGCACCTTCGACAGGCTTGCTCTCCCGCTGCCCAAAGACGAACGCGTAGAACGAAGAAAAAGAGAGAAAAAATACAATGGGGCCCGCTGCATCCATCGACGAATGGATGTCGATAGTTGGAGGCACGGCTTCATTGCGAAGGTCGCGTGAGTGCGTCCTACTGAATGTGTTTTTTTTATCAGTGTCAATACAATATTGTAACATAAAAGTATTGGTATCCTTACGATTAAAAAAATGAACCTGTTTGCCTGGAGCGAGCTGTTGAGTTAATCTCTCACATCCTAGGAGTATTAAATTCTGGTGCATTCGCGTGGATAGATCTCATCAGCTTTTGTAGCAAATGCCTTCACTTCACTTTTGCTTATTTATTTTTGTTTGCTTTATTATTATTATTATTATTATTATTATTATTTTTGCAAATGTAACAAAGTGATTTCCATCAGTTCCCTATCAGAGACCCATTGTTTTCCACAAATGCCCAATTGTCGAGAACGTCTGGATGAGTTCTGAAAGTAATGTCTATTTATGCACAATCGGTGAATTGTTTCATTTTCTCCATTTCTTTGCTCTCGTTGTTTTCTGTTGGAAGATGACGTTCTCTGCATCTTTTTTTTTTTCCCCACCGTGTTATTGTGCTTCCTTTTGCGATAATATGTTTCATCATTACTAAAACGCGACGAGTGTTATCTCGTATCTAGTGGCACGTTAAAGCGTCGTCTGAAATTTGCACAGAAAAAATCCCAAGCTGAGAAGTCTGCCGATCGAGACCTCGATCGAAGCTGGTGCTGTGTTTCCATATTTGTCCCCGATGCCCGAGAGACTGAAGTTTCTGGCAAAAAAAAAAATCCTGGGAGAAAAATGGCCGCTCGTGTGGACCTCGAGATCCACACGATGTCCTTCGGCAGACAGGATGAAGAGTTCAAGGAGGAAAATGGCGTTTGCACGACCACTGGATTTAATCGCTCTTTAGTCGCTCGTCATCGATCGATGATCGAGAAACCGTTATTTTAAAAATTGATATGTGATTTATGCGGGAGGTTTTTTGAAGAAAAGGTGATGCAGCATGCAGCGCAATAAGGACAGACCAAATAGTTGTCCATTCCGAATGGAGACCGCTCAGTCAGGATGATGTCGGGAAAAACGGCGGTGGCGGATGTCCCAAAGACATTCCACGGAGGTCGTAAACAGTTTTCGCGCTCCCGGTTCGCTTTCCACGGCGTGAATGAGGAAAGAAGGATGTTGGGTGGAGGGTGGAAGGTGGAGTGCAAGGGAGACATCCGCGATGCGGAACGTGGAGACCGTGATGGAAAGGGGCGAGAGAGGGAAATTCCTGCTCCGCCTCCACGCGCAGTTGGGGCAACGTTGCCGGGACTGTGAAACACGCAGTCGCGTCCGAGTCGTCCCGTTTGAGCCTCCCCGTCGGTTTCCGTACGTTTCTGTTCGGTGAGTCCACGGAGGCGAGCGAAGATCGCGTTATGAGCTCGAGTCACGGTGTCGCCGCTTTGAAGCCGGTCCAAAGTTCCCGCCTCGAGACCGGCTTTCCTTCCTGGAGCAATCTTATCGGTGGAATTCCGCGCAAGAAATAAACGCAACCGGTAAACTGCATTCTGCGTGTCATCCAGCCACCACGTTTGAACAAGTTTCTACTTAATCACGGCAAACTTTCTCAAAAGCAGAGGTATCTGCGAATAGTACAATCATAAGGGTTTGAACCCTTAGAAGACTTGGGAGGATGGGGGGATGCTGTGATGCGCACTGGTCCACGTGGCTGGTGACGTCATGGACTAGCATGGCTGCGCACTATCCCACACTTCGTCTGAGTGGCGAGAAAACTTCGTAGTAGCCCTTGGAGGGCTTACGTTGCTCCGATATTGCGTGGGTCTTAGGCCTGAGTGGTAGATTTACGAACAAATGCGAAACACCATCGCAAGGTGGGTGAACGGCTCAGCATGGCTGGCTACCACAGCATTGGAACATCGGTGTGTCAGCCGCTTATTTCCGAATGCAAACCTCAGTGCACTTGGAAGGAGAGACACCTGAGCCCGTATGCAGCCTTTATGCAGAGGCAGAACATAGAGGAACTTTGGTGGTCAAGGCTGAGCACAGGTAATTGAGGAAGTAGAATTAAAACGTCAGTTTATGAACCAATTTAGTCTCTTTAGGGATCAGAGATCACTTAAAAGTTTCAAGGTTTGGGATGGGACATTTTCGCCTATTATGAGGTCCATTGTTAAGGTGGAGCGTTCATATTTAATAAGATCGACCAACCCCTCTTATAGTTATTTTTGAAAAAGCATATCCACCTATAATCGTATCACTCTCAGCTTCATCGCCTCCCCCCCCCCCCATTTTTTTTTGTCCATGAAAGTATGTAATGTCTTAAAACTAATCATGGAAGGGGCAGCAACTAAATTGTCGCATAAGACATTCCATGCATTTTTTGCCCTACTTGTAAAAAAGTCATTCTGCAATTTGTGTTGCATTGGGAGTTTACACAACTTGAACTGGTGCCCTTTGTTCTGCTGCAGATATCAAGTTTGAAAAATCTGACTCAATCCTTGTCATCAATTTCCTTGATCTGGATCTGGAATAGGTGCTAGTCCATTGTTATACTGGATGAGATTATATGAAAACAGGTCTTGTTATGGTTATGGTAGATGGGGTTTTGTTGGAGCTGTAGAGTTATTACTTTTTAATGGGTATAAGAGGATCATGCACATGGTGGCTTGATTTGTGTAAGCTATTAATTGGCCCCCTACTATGTAGGTAATGTTAGGTTTAGTTTTAGCCTGATTTTGATTTTTGATCAGTGGTAAATATTTAGAAAAGAAGAAAAATGGAGCGATAGGTGTAAGTGAATAGGGATTAGATGGACTATGCAGTAGGCTAATAGACCTAGTTATGCTCCCATGCCAATATCTATCTATAAGAGGGGTAAGCCTATCTCGGATTAAATGAACACTTGACCTTGACATTGGGTAGGCTGATGGGCAAAGTTACCTCTTCATATCTCTCAACTTTAACCTTAGACTAAGGAAGGATTGCCAGCTCTGGAGATTCATACAGTACATCCAATCAGATTTTATCCCCTTCTTAATTGTATTGACCCTATACATTGCAGAGTATGAAATTCACAGGAGCCTGAGAATCTATGACATCAAGATACTGGGTTGACCAACCTTGTGCCACAGAAACCATCACCTCAGGCTCCTGCAAACCCTGCTTTGTCTGGTTTTCATAGCCTCTTGAAATGCTCCATGGACTATTTCTTCCATTCTGAGAGATCTAACTTCATAGTCTATTGATGCTAAAGTCCCCATTGCCCCAACTTTGTGGGTAGTGCTGTTATGCCAAACTGTCCTAAGTAAAGCTCAAAAATGATATCCCCCATGGCAAGTGCATACCATCATGGTGATTTTCAATGGACTTTAATGAAGTAATGAATTACTTTATTCTTAAAAGCAAGATTTGCAATATCCATGGAGTAAGTCTTTGGCTCAAGTATTAGTGGGTCTAGAAGTCCAAGATCCCATCAGGTGGAAGTTACACTATTTCAGATTTCTGAATCCAAACCTTGATAGGAGATAGTTGGCCTATGTATGAATAGAAAAGAAGAGAGGGAATTAAGAAATCATAAGAAATATAAAAAGGTAGTTAAAAGTATAAGACTGTGCTTGACTGTGCATTCATCAGCAATTAAGAGAAAGGGGGCACTAGTGTATGATAAGACTAAGAAGTGTCAGGTTCAAATTATATTTTAGTTTAAAAAGTCTAATTGGGTTCCAAGTAATAGGCCTAAAACATATCTTCTTTTTTTTATCCATCCAAGCTCTTGCAATACAGTTGGTTTTATAGTTGAAAAGTTATTGTTTAGATTTTGTCATCATGGGCCTAAATAAACCAGGTAGGCTTCCACAATGGTCCTATGGTTCTTTCTTTTTACTTTAACATTGATTGAAACATATTCATCTAATCAAAAGAGCTTACTTTTTTTTTGCCTTGTCTACAGTTAGGAATGCATGCCATGCCAACTAGTGTCTTTTAACACATTGATTGCCATGTCAGCCAATGTGACCAACAGAGCCATAGCATGTCACAGAGTCTGGGAGTCATTGTGTTAAAATTGCTTTGTTCAAGAGTCAAGATTTTATTTTAAATGGCCTTGGTTAGGGAGTAAAACTATATTTTCATCAATTATTGATATGTTGAGTTTCATTTTGCAGGCTTGTATGTCATAATTTAAAAAATCTATTCTCACTTTGAATTCATTATGTGTTGGAAATCCCTGAGTTTTAAATTATAATATAAAGTGATTTGTGAGGTCTCTGAAATTATTGCTGGCAAAATATTTGCTCTTGGTGCTCTATGGTAGATTCAAGCAAACTAAGTAGTTGAACTCTTTGTGGATTGAAAATGAGTAAAAAAAAAAGTTCTGATAAATATTTTAAATGTTACCTTGCATCACCATGGTATTAACTTGAGACATCTCTTGGACTAGTCCCTCTCAAAATAATCTAAACTTGTGACCTATTTTTAAGTTGAAAGAGTAAGGAAAATAGAGTATGCCTATATTGTTGGTATAAATTTACAAAAATAACCATACCAGTCTTTCCCTGGATGACCCTTCACTCTGGAAGATCATTCACACAGACAAGAAATAAGAGAGGTTCCAGCTTTGACCCCTTGTTCCTTGTGTCAGCAGGGGTACAATAGTGTTGACATTGCTCTGTGGAGTTAGCATTGTTCCTGTAAGATAAGATTTGGCGTAGGTCTACAAATTCCATAGTACTGTAATTTATGGAACATGACCTCTTTTGATAAGGGATTGAAATCTTTTTTACCATCAAAATATGTCAAGTCCAATATTCCAATTATCCAATTAAATTTTCAGTTTCAGTAATCCTCATGAGTGCAGCTATAGTACTGTGATAATGGCTTAGCCTATGTTATTCACTGTGAAGTCTTTCATCCAATTGGAAATAGTCTGTGCTGTTTTTGGATTTATTTCATTCTCCCCTCCCCCCCCATCCTATTGGAGCTCTTCTGTCAGAGGCAGTGACAGCTTCCACAGGATAGTTTCATGGATCATCCAATGTTATGGATCCTCCAGAAGTAGCACTTTCTTCATTTTCTGCTACCTGTTAGAAGGAGTGCATACAAATTTAATCCAAAAGGAATGTGTCTCACATGTAATTTTTGTTGAGATTTCCTTCTTAGAGCCAGAATGGAGACAGACCCAAATCATTCACCTCGTGAAGATGACTCCTTTGAATATTGGTTTATGTCATGCTGTCTTAGTTTCAACCTTTGCACTTTGGGATGGTTTCTGGAAATGAAATGAAGCAAGCATGACTAAACCTGTTTGAAGTTAGACCTTATTTATTGCCCTTCATTCATTCCAAGTAAAATTTAGTCCATAACAACCAGGCTTAGAAATGTTTTCACTGAGGTGAATTGCATGATTATGAAGGGTGGTCTCACATCAATGTATGATAACAATGTATAATGTATGATATGTATAACAATGTATGATAGTAAACTAAGTTAGACTCAACAAGCCTAAAGCTGTGATAATTCATCTGTTTACTTTTACTAGACTTAGGTAGCCTAATGTGCTTCAAATAGAAACTTATGTTGATTCAGAGGTCTTTTTTGTATGGTACAGATAAATAGAAATCCATTGCATTCATTGGATTCCCCTTATGATGTAACATTGAAATGATGGAGGCTGTAAGCCAAGTTGGAGGTCTTCCAGTGGACTGAAGGTGTCTTCGGCCGTGTCTTCTGAGCTAGATTCAAGCAAGAAGCAGCCATGGAGATGGAAGGAACGATATGGAAGTGGACAAATTACTGGAAAGGCTGGCAGCCACGTTGGTTTGTGCTGGAGAGTGGGGTCCTGTCGTATTACAGTTCCCAAGAGGAAGTGAATCAGGGCAGCAAAGGATCAATTAAGGTGACAGTGTGCGACATCGTAGCCCATGCCACCGACTATACCCGCCTTGATGTTGGCATACCTGGGGAACAGTACTTTTACCTGAAATTTGCCACCCCACAAGAGCGCCAGCAATGGCTGATCGCATTAGGGTCATCCAAGGCCGCCCTCGGGTCCAATCGTCACAGACGAGACTCTGAGGGTGGCAAGGATCAAATCCGGAGCAAAAAGTCAGAGTTGCGTCTGTATTGTGATCTGCTGATGCAGCAGGTGCATTCAGTTAAGACAGTTGCATCTGAGGATGTGACTAAGCTGGACGAATCCACTGGGCTTCTATCTGCCACTTGTGACACATTCATCAAAACCCTAGAAGAACTTATGGAGATGGTGGATCATTCAATGATGCCACTGTCGCCTCTTGCCCAAATGGCTCCCGTCATTCCTCACATGAAGAAAAATTCCCGGATCCATCACGATCGGCAGCCATCTGTCGACAAGTGATCTGGGCTTGCTATTTTTGTTGTACTTGTCTTCCCATCATTCCATGATGAGTTAACACAGATATGTCTCCCTTTTTCATCACTCTGGGGTTGTGATGTCTATTTTTGTGATGCATTCCATCAGTGGTTTTGGTTTGCTGCTACTTTTATTTCCAGTTCCCTCCCTACATTACGAGTAAATTTATTTATTATATATTATGGGTGCAGAGTGAGAACTTGACTACTGCCACAGTAGGAAAATGCATTGAGTAAATTGCCCGGTTCATCAGTCATCATCAGACATCAGTCCCAAATCTGCCAGATGAATAAAGGAGTGCAAATCATGCTCAAATTGGAAGTATATACCTTTATAATGGTTTATTAAGATAAAAATCAGTTATTGCTCGCAGTGTTATGGGAAAAAATGCAAGTATTGTGATTTTTCTATGTGCTTGATGTGGCCATTAATGAAGCAAATGACAGATAGAACAATTTTATTAACTGGTCTATATATTTTTTTTTAGAGTAAGTAAGTTGTTCCATGTGGATTTCCTTCTCGTCCAGTTGCTTTTGTAGGTGCACGTAGCCTAGAATTTCCGTGGAGGTTTTCTCGCCCTGCTGCACCTGTAGCCTCACTGTGTTGCCTTCTTTTTTGCATCTCTCGTTCATTTCTACGGATTTTCCTTTTTATATCTGTTGTCAAGGGTGCTTTTGTGATCATATCCTGATTTTATTCCCCTTCATGAACCAGGACCAATTCCTGAACATGAATAAATTGGTATTGGAAATTCTTGAATGGTCTGTTGTTTTTCTGATTGAATCCAGACACAATTGCTCTTTAAAAATTATTTTCATCCTTCATTGATCAGTTAAAATCTATGGTTTCAACCCTTGCTCCAGTGCAAGGATTGAATTTTTTTTTACTTGTTGGTGATGAAGACTGTGGAGAGATGCCATTATTAAACAAGAATGTGGCTGTCACACATGTTGGCAGCAACCCAGTGCTTGAGTGCTGGGCTGACATGATCCTTTGCGCCATGTAGGAGTGTTTTGATTGATGCAGTGTCGGATCTGTCCCGACCAGACAGATTAGTATCGCCAACGCATCATGAATGTTGGCTGTAGTAGGCTGCAGCTGGATTCCAATGAAGTCGGAATTTTTCTGCTTAAGCGTCAGTTATAAGCTTCTGACAGGCCTGTTCTCTTAGGACTGAAATGTGGGGAGGGGAGGGATGTTCCTCGCCATCCTCCTCGCTCCCCTCTGAACTGCTAGTTGGGTTAAATGAAATTACTCCCACTTAAAGATGTGTTCATACAAATGATTAGTGAGAAATTTAAATTTCACAAAGCAGAAAGCTTGAGGTGAGCAGGGCAGTAGCTTGAATGCAGAGGGTATGGCACAAAAAAAGAAAAGACCGAACGAGAGTCACTCTCCCTCTGGACCGTTTTAATCGGATCTCCAAATATTTTATGCATATACATTACATATTTCTTTGCCTCTAAGCTTGAAAAGGCGGTTAAGATCAAGGTATTTACATGAAAATTAACACTAATACTCCGCCGAAAGTCCTTAGCATCACACGCTGAGGCTAGTTCAAGCCTACGCTCGCGGATTTTTGGGTCACGAAAACAAAATTACATTTGAGAAGCCTAGTTTTCGCTCGTAATGAACTGATTAAAATATAAGCTGTAAGTTTCAAGCACTCAGTAGAGATTTCGCAAACAGAGCAGCTGTACGATTTAAATTTCAGACTCGTAGCACAATATTTGTGATAAGTTAGATTTGATTTTTCAGGTTTTGACGAACTATGTAAACTTGAATGCAAATAGTTTCACGCCAAATTTGGTGATGTTTGATTAAAGCGATACCGAGATACGGTGACTTTTGTCAATTTCTGCCAACCCCAAGATAAGGAGAAAGTGGGCGAGACTGGCCATGTCACCGCATTCGCGTCTCTCGTCAACCCGAATCCCTGACTCGTAAAAACAACAACACCATCACGTGTGGACTGTTTCTGCACTCTTTGCTGCACTGCGTAGTTGTTTTTTTTTTTCCTGAAGTTTCCTGCAACTGGTGAAGTCTGTTGTTGAGGCATGAAAGCAGATGCAAAACATATAGGTTAATGTATTCTGGAAAGTGACGTCACTCACTGGGTAAAGTAAGGCGATTTCTGTGTGAATTTGGGCCTGCCCCGTGAAAACGAAATAGCATCACGTGTAGTGTGTTTCTGCGCTCATTGTACTACTGCACAATATTTATTGTTTCCCCGAGTGAACTCGAATCACCCAATTCGTATTCCCTCTTCAAGAATGACCGTCACAGATACGCGAAGATGATAGTCCAGGCAGCGAGCCGACTGCTGCGGGGAGCGCTGACGCGTGGGCGGATGCGCGGAATCTCCACCGGACTCCCGTTGCCATCCGCGTACGAAGGCGACGGAAAGACGACTGTCTCCATCCTGAACCAAGAGGTCTCGAACCTCCTCCTGATCGATGCGTACAGCACGATGGGATTCGTGTTGAACAATGGCATCAATGTCGTCGGTTCGGTGGCCCTGTTCCCGCGCACGGTCCTCAGCTGGCAGGTGGCGTCGGTCGACGACATCAACGAGGAGTCTCTTTCGCTCTTTTACATGCTGGAGCCTCGACTGGACGTGTTGGTGATCGGGACGGGCGACCGCGGAACCAGGTTGAACCTCGATATCATCAAGTTCCTCAGATCGAAGCGGTTGAACGTGGAGGCAGTGCCGACGGAGTCGGCTTGCGCGACGTTCAACTACTTGAATGCGGATGGGCGACTCGTGGGTGCGGGGCTCATTCCTCCCTCGAATGTCGCCATCCTCAGTGAGGATGCCTTCGAGGCGCAGCGGAGGAGGAAGCAGCTCTATAAGTTGGAGGACTAGGGATTTAGTGAGCGCTTTGTCGGTTGTCTGGTGTGCCTTGGAAAGTCAAGAAGCATTTTCTGTACGGTCTTTCTAATTGGTTTTATTCTTTTATTCGTTGAGGCGGTTGCGTTGCTTCAAGCTGGAGGATTGCAAGATTCTCCGGGTGAACAACACTCTGAGGTCGGTAACTCGCAATCTTCTGATTTTGGGTTGAACCATTTTGGTTTGTCACAGAACTATGGAAGAAAAATGAGTATTTTGTACGTCATCTCGTTAGGGGAAAGGGTACAAATCCTCTTACATGGGTACTGCATGTTGGTGGAACCCCTTTATATGGGAAAATAGCAAGATTTTGAGGAAGACGTGCATCACGAGATTTTTCATGCGCTTCAGGAGAATCCAGTATGGAAAGTTCGAAAATACTCCAAAAATGTTCCTTGAGATGTCAAAGGATATCTCATTCTAGTTTCATCTGATTAGAAGCCGAGGTCCTAGCTCTTTACGGTTTGTCTATTCGTACCAAAAAACTTATCTTTATACAGGGTGGCGCACAAAAATGTTTCCCATTTCATAAAACGATATTTTCATTATTTATTAAGGTGAAGGAAATTGAATTACATGTCACCTGATAGACAAACTAAACTAGTTTTTTATGTTGAAACACATGTTTGAAGTCTTTACCGTTCCTTCGGATAATCTGTCTGCAACGTACATCAGTGTTTTGAGTGACCTTGTTGAGTGCCTCTCTTGTTATGCCTCTGAACCCTGTAACCACGGAACGTTTGAGTTCAACAATGGTGTGTGGATCTGTGGAGAACACCTCTTTAAGGATACCCCATTTTAAAAAAGTGGCGGTCTGGAGATGATGCTACAGGATGTGCCCTGTCATTCTGATAACGTTTTCTCTTCACTTATTGACGATATTCTTAATCGCTGGTTTTTTATGTTTTATCAGGAAACTATCATCTACAATCTCTCCTCACAGTAACAGGTGAATGCATTTTCAATTAATTCTTGCACCATGAACACCCTTAGCTCTGGTTTTTTTTTTACGCGTTAAAACGCCTCGATCAATTCCAGCGATTAAGAAGATCGTTGATAAGTTTGAAGAGAAAGCATTATGAGTTTGAGAAGCGACATCCCGCGTCCAGCAACATATCCTGATCTTATACCGCCTTTTTTTTAAATGGGGTTTCCTCAAAGAAAAGGTGTTCTCCACAAATCCACACACCATTGATGAACTCAAACGTTTCGCGATTACAAGTTTCAGAGGCACAAGAAACACTGAACAAGGTTATTTAAAACACTGCTGTACGTTACAGCAAGATTGTCCGTAAGAACGGCGAAGACTTTGAACATGTATTTTAACATGAAGAACTTTTTGGAGTTGGCCTATCAGATGACATGTAACTCAATTTTCTGCCTTAATAAATATTGAAATACAGGTTAATGAATTGTGAAACATTTTTGTGTTCCACCCTGTATAATTTTCTTCCGAGTAAAATGCGAAAAATAAAGTTCTTTCGTGTGTTGAGATTATTCCCTCATGACAACTGTGAGTCTTAAACTTTTGTTTAATATCTTAATAGGACTACCATAATCACAGCCAAAGTACATTTTTTATTTTCGTTTTCCCGAGAAATCCCTGAAAATTGGGGAGTTGTGCCTTCAATTTGTGCGTGGTCATCATGAAGCGCTACAGGGACTAAATATACTGGACAAGTAAGAGCTTTGATACGCTACGATGATGTAGTAAAGCAACGTCTCGCTCACATGTGGATCATATCGTGATCAGGCAGAAGACCAAAAATGCAATTTTGCAATTTTTAAGATCGCGTCTGATTGATATTCAAAGGGACGATTCGCCGCTTGAGCGGGATGACGTCACAGATGATCCTCACCCGCTTTCGTTTGCGTTCCAGTTCTGATCGCTCAAAAGTGCATGAAGGAAGAGGTAAATACATAATCCAAATTAGCCTGTTTGCCAGACCAAGCGACGATAAAGGAGGGACTGTCGCCTTGGCCTCGATGAGTCAGCTGTGGAGCTCGTCAGACTTCATGCCGTTTGCCAGATGTTGGAAGTAACCGAAAGGGTAATCAGGGAGAGAAAGGGACGAAAACATGACAATTTTGCGCTTTTTTTTCAGATCATCGGCGATTATCCGTAAATGCTCACGAACTCGCGAGGATCTTTTCAAAAGTACCTTATAGCCCTATGGAGCACAGTCTCTTCCCAAGGCGAGGGGGGAGGAATGCATGTACACTTGTGAAAGTTCCTTGCCGCTAATTTATTCGGTCATGCTCCATGAAAGTGCTTCCAATCCGTTTTGCACGCGAGAGCACCTGGAGCAGACACGGCGTAATTTCCTCTAATGGCAATCAGCTGTTGCTGTTTCCTAGTGCAGTTTTCTGCTCTTCACCGAAGTGTAAAACTTTTTCAAGGTCGATTTTCTCTGACGATGTGAAGTTTTTAATTACCTCCCAGTAATTATCCTCTTTCGGTTTTTCGATTTGATGGAAAAATTGAAATCTCAAATGAGACTTTGCGGCCCAGTTTTTCTCACTTCCTATTCCCCGTCGATCGAAACCCAGCCGCATTACCGTTCGTTGTAACCTCGATAATGCACGCACATTTCTGACCGGGTTGAAATCTCAGACGGATTCGGGAGCGAATGGGGAAGATCATTACTTTTCTTAGTCGTGAGAAAGCTTATCGTAAAAAATTAGTTGAGCACTTTTAGGGAGCTGTATAATTAGGAAAATCGAGTCGTATTTCCAGCCTGCAAATCCGTTCGTTCTATGAAATCTCTGGATGAAAACGGGGTGAAGTTTTGTGTTGCATATATTGGCATAACGAGAACGATCGGTCTTACTATGCTCTTGGAGAGGTCGGGGCAGACGTAATAGGCGTTGCAGCAGCAGGGGTGAGGGATCCTCCTTCCGACGGATGAGGCTGGGCAGGAACATGGGTCTGGATCGCAGTTGGGGGGAGCTGTTGTTTCGATGGGGTCCTCTGTCGTGCTTGGGTCTTTCGTCGGGGTCGAGTTGGGGTCCGTGGTCGTTGACTCGGACGGGTGCTCCGTGGTTGTCTCTGTGGGATGCTCCGTAGTCGTCTCTGTGGGATGATCTGTGGTCGTCTCTGTGGGGTGCTCTGTGGTCGTCTCTGTGGGATGCTCTGTGGTCGTCTCTGTGGGATGCTCCGTAGGATCCCCTGTCGTCGTTGTTCCGGTCGGATCCTCTGTCGTCGTTGTCGCCGTCGTGGTCGTGGCTGTCGTTGTCGTTGTCGTTGCTGTCTTCGTCCCCGTCGTCGTCCCCGTCGTTGTCGTAGTAGTAGTAGTAGAAGAAACTTAAGAACAAAAACGTGAATTATTGGTAAATAAAAGGCAGTACCTCATTCTGAAAACGAGCAATTAAAAAAGAGCGAGAAAATAGTCGTCGTCCCCGTCGTTGTCGTAGTAGTAGTAGTAGAAGAAACTTAAGAACAAAAACGTGAGTTATTGGTAAATAAAAGGCAGTACCTCATTCTGAAAACGAGCAATTAAAAAAGAGCGAGAAAATGAGGTCGGGGCAGACGTAATAGGCGTTGCAGCAGCAGGGGTGAGGGATCCTCCTTCCGACGGATGAGGCTGGGCAGGAACATGGGTCTGGATCGCAGTTGGGGGGAGCTGTTGTTTCGATGGGGTCCTCTGTCGTGCTTGGGTCTTTCGTTGGGGTCGAGTTGGGGTCCGTGGTCGTTGACTCGGACGGATGCTCCGTAGTCGTCTTTGTGGGATGATCTATGGTCGTCTCTGTGGGATGCTCCGTGGTCGTCTCTGTAGGATGCTCCGTGGTCGTTGTTACGGTCGGATCCTCTGTCGTCGTTGTCGCCGTCGTGGTTGTGGCTGTCGTTGTCGTTGTCGTTGCTGTCGTCGTCCCCGTCGTCGCTCCCGTCGTTGTCGTAGTAATTGTAGAAGTAACTTAAGAACAAAAACGTGAATTATTGGTAAGTAAATGGCAGTACCTCATTCTAAAAACGAGCAATTAAAAAAGAGCGGGAAAATAAGCGACTAAACACTAGTACTAGCACTAGTACGATACTTGAAGAACAATGCAACTGAAAGTAAGAAGACCATCATCGTCGAGGCAGGGAATGACCGAGCGAGAAAGGAACCTGGTGGAGGCGTGGTGGTGCCTCTGGGAAGGCGAGGAGGGCATTCCACATAGAGAGGATTCTTGCAACGTCTATCTCCGATGTGGAAGTTGGTGTCCCCGTAGCACGAGAGCAGTTCCGGGTAGCCTTCCTCGCAGTGGTAGTAGAGGTAGCAGTACTTCGGGTGCGGGTGGTACGCTTCCTCATCGTCTGGACACTGGAACGGACTCGACGGGGTCGTCGTTACGTGCCGGCCGAGACGCATCCGATCGTCTGCATCTACTTCTCGATCTGATGCAATATTGGTTGCTGATGACGATGGTGATACCCGATTACTCAAAACTGATTCTCTTTCGTGACAGCAAAATAACAGTTTCTAATAACGGGACAGGGTGATGGAGTCTTGAAAGCTTGCTAAGAGCCATTCGCAATATCAAATTTGATATCAGGTTTAATTTTGATTTTTTTCCAGAGGCCGGAAAATATTGTTTGAAGCGGTGAGGATCGGACTTGTGCTTCTTTCTACAAGTCCGATCTTGATGCAAGACTTGTACAGCACCTCCGAAAGGAGGTGCGGACTTCACCTTAGATTATACTGAAAGTTTGTATTTTAAAATAGCTTGAATTTCATTTATCCTACTTGATTTGCTGTAAACTAGATTCTCTCTGATTTCATTGTTAATCTTTCAATTATTTTTTTTTAATCGATAAGAGAAAGTTTACCAAAAGCGTAACGGGTGGGAATACAGCCGGATAGATCCTGGAGAGGAGAACATCGCTTGAGCAGCTGATGGAATTGGAGTCCTGGGTCGCATTGTCGAATGTGGGGTCTCCCGCCCCGGCATTCCCAATACAAGTCGCAGGAGTCACCTGTCCTCCACGTCTCGCCGTTTTGGCATGCGAGGCCGTGAATCACTGCGCAAATGCGACTCGTATTAATAAATAAATAAAAGCGGAGCGGTAATTTTTTTCCTGGAAGAGTCTGACCTGGAAGAAGGAGAACGAATCCAGCTGAGGCTTGCATTGCGACACAAAAAGTGAAGGCACATATGATTCATCATTGCGCATTTGCTTTCTCAGTTTTCTTTATCTGCCCGCGGAGGACGTTGGACGCACGCTTTTTTCTCAGATGAAAATGGCGTCAGCGCTTATCTGGTATTCGTGATTAGTCAGGTTTTTTTTTTAAGGTTTGTGGTGTGAGTGTGAGCGTCGAGTGTCGAGTGTCGTTTTTGCCCTTCATGATGTCCCTTGTCCAAGTCAAGTGTTCATTTATCAAAAGATGAGCCTACCCTCGTTTAAAGATAGATATTTTTGTGAGAATGTAGCCTCTCCTCCCTCTCTTTCCACACTGTAAAAAATAATGGTTCACGCTGGAACTCTTCCATGGTTCTACACCCTTGAAAAGGTTTCGGGTACTGCAGATGAATATTAATTGGTTCCAGCGCAGATGTTGAACCATACGAAACTCCATCGCTCTTGTGGAACCTGTGGAACTGGCCATTGGTTCTAGGTACAACCATTTCTTGTGGTGTTTTCTCAAAATGGTTCGCAAAAGGATCCCTTCAGGGCTCGATACGTAGATATTTTTTTCTCAATTTTTTTCACCATTCACTCAGAACTCCCCTCCAACCCCCTCATCCCCTCCCCCGACCCAATCGACTCAAGATGGCTCCTAAGCGCCGATTTAACGATACTCACTCTGGTGCCATTGGAATGAGTCCCCTGTATTATTTCACACGGTACCCGATCTTTTCCCACGTACAACTTAAGGGAAGGCTTTGGAATTCCTTGATAGACCCGTTTAAGGAGGTAACCCGGCAGAAGGAGACTCCAAATACTACTGACCAGGGGTCCGAGGAGATATCCTCAATTTTGCCAAGTCTTCATTGGACTCGANGTCGTCGTCCCCGTCGTTGTCGTAGTAGTAGTAGTAGAAGAAACTTAAGAACAAAAACGTGAATTATTGGTAAATAAAAGGCAGTACCTCATTCTGAAAACGAGCAATTAAAAAAGAGCGAGAAAATAAGCGACTAAACACAAAGAAGCACTAGTACTATACTTGAAGAACAATGCGACTGAAAGTAAAAAGACCATCATCGTCGAGGCAGGGAATGACCGAGCAAGAAAGAAACCTGGTGGAGGCGTGGTGGTGCCTCTGGGAAGGCGCGGAGGGCATTCCACATAGAGAGGATTCTTGCAATGTCTATCTTCGATGTCGAAGTTAGTGTCCCCGTAGCACGAGAGTAGTTCCTGGTAGCCGTCCTCGCAGTGGTAGTAGAGGTAGCAGCACTTCGGGTGCGGGTGGTACGCTTCCTCATCGTCTGGACACTGGAACGGACTCGACGGGGTCGTCGTTACGTGCCGGCCGAGATGCATCCGATCGTCTATATCTACTTCTCGATCTGATGCAATATTGGTTGCTGATGACGATGGTGGTGTTACCCGATTACTCAAAACTGATTCTCTTTCGTGACAGCAAAATAACAGTTTCTAATAACGGGACAGGGTGATGGAGTCTTGAAGGCTTGCTAAGAGCCATTCGCAATATCAAATTTGATTTCAGGTTTAATTTTGATTTTTTTTCCAGAGGCCGGTAAATATCGTTTGAAGCGGTGAGGATCGGACTTGTACTTCTTTCTACAAGTCCGCTCTTGATACAAGACTTGTACAGCACCTCCGAAAGGAGGTGCCGGTTTCACCTTCGATTATACTGAAAGTTTGTATTTTAAAAAAGCTTGAATTTCATTTCTCCTACTTGATTTGCTGTAAACTAGATTCTCTCTGATTTCATTTTTAATCTTTCAATTATTTTTTTTTAATCGATAAGAGAAAGTTTACCAAAAGCGTAACGGGAGGGAATACAGCCGGATAGATCCTGGAGAGGAGAACATCGCTTGAGCAGCTGATGGAATTGGAGTCCTGGGTCGCATCGTCGAATGTGGGGTCTCCCGCCCCGGCATTCCCAATACAAGTCGCAGGAGTCACCTGTCCTCCACGTCTCGCGTTTTGGCAGACGAGACCGTGAATCACTGCGCAAATGCGCCTCGTATTAATAATTAAATAAAAGCGGATCGGTAATTTTTTTCCTGGAAGAGTCTGACCTGGAAGAAGGAGAACGAATCCAGCTGAGGCTTGCATTGCGACACAGAAAGTGAAGGCACATATGATTCGTCATTGCGCATTTGCTTTCTCAGTTTTCTTTATCGGCCCGCGGAGGACGTTGCGTTAATTGACCAAACAGGGAAGGGCCGCGCTCAATTTACCGGCTTTGGCGGCATTGACTCACGCTTTTTTCTCAGATGAAAATGGCGTCAGCGCTTATCTGGTATTCGTGATTTGTCAGGTTTTTTTTTTAACGTTTGAGGTGTGAGTGTGAACGTCGAGTGTCGAGTGTCGTTTTTGCCTTTTATGATGTCCCTTGTCCAAGTCAAATGTTCATTTATCGAAAGACGAGCCTACCCTCGCTTAAAGATAGATATTTTTGTGAGAATGTAGCCTCTCCTCCCTCTTTTTCCACACTGTAAAAAATAATGTTTCACGCTGGAACTCTTCCATGGTTCTACACCCTTGAAAAGGTTTCAGGTACTGCAGATGAATATTAATTGGTTCCAGCGCAGATGTTGAACCATACGAAACTCCATCGCTCTTGTGGAACCTGTGGAACTGGCCATTGGTTCTAGGTACAACCATTTCTTGTGATGTTTTCTCAAAATGGTTCGCAAAAGGATCCCTTCAGGGCTCGATACGTAGATATTTTTTTCTCAATTTTTTTCACCATTCACTCAGAACTCCCCTCCAACCCCCTCATCCCCTCCCCCGACCCAATCGACTCAAGATGGCTCCTAAGCGCCGATTTAACGATACTCACTCTGGTGCCATTGGAATGAGTCCCCTGTATTATTTCACACGGTACCCGATCTTTTCCCACGTACAACTTAAGGGAAGGCTTTGGAATTCCTTGATAGACCCGTTTAAGGAGGTAACCCGGCAGAAGGAGACTCCAAATACTACTGACCAGGGGTCCGAGGAGATATCCTCAATTTTACCAAGTCTTCATTGGACTCGATTTCCTCTTTCTCTCTCTCTCTCTCTCTCTTTCGAAAGAGACAGAGTGTGAATATTGACTTGCAGAGGTGTGTCTGGTTCCGCTCCTATAATGAAATACATCTGGAGATGTTGCTTGACGTGTAATTTCTCTGCTGGACAAAAAGAGTTGTCACCCAAGTACTCAACTCTAATTCTGATCTAGCGAAGGAATTACCACCTCAAAGGGTCTCCTCCAGGACATTAGTACTCGATAGAGTACTATCAACCCCCTGAGATCCTTCCTTGGCCCTTCGGACGGATCCCTCCGTCGGATGACAGTACTTAATAGGGTACTGTCCTTAATCTAATATACAGGGTGGCGCAAAAATCGCGTACCAGAGAGGAAATTACAGTAAATGTTCGAATAGTTTGCCATTAACTTGAAGTCACTTCGATTCGTTGCACACATAATGTTTGAACTTATCTTAACTACACCCTCTTGTCTTTTGTTAATTTTTCTGCCATCGGTAACTTGCAATGGAAGAGACAAGAATTAATGTAGTGCAACAGTGAAATCCTCTACGGTGCGCGACTTTAGCGCCACCCTGTACATGCAAACTTGTCATCTAATCGTTATTAGCGCTCTTTCAGACCCAGAAAATGGAAGAGGTTCTGTAATGCCCAAACGTTGAGAAATCAACTTTTGCACCAAATTGACAACGTTGTCGTGGCAAATGGTGTGCTGCATTGAGTGATGCTTCTGCGTGGAACCATGTTATTCACGAAAGGGTTTTCAGCAACACCTTCTGAAAAGGTACATGTAACCTTCATAGGTGGTTCTCTATGGAACTATTAAATGGTTCCAAGAAAGTTTCACTGTAGAACCAGTAAAGAGTTCTAGGGAGAACCATTATTTTTTACAGTGTACTTTCAACATCGAATTGGGGAAATCTGCCACGATTCCCTTCGTGATCCCAAAAGCCTGGATGAAGCGTTGACCTTAGAAGTAGAACCAGTAAAGAGTTCTAGGGAGAACCATTATTTTTTACAGTGTACTTTCAACATCGAATTGGGGAAATCTGCCACGATTCCCTTCGTGATCCCAAAAGCCTGGATGAGGCGTTGACCTTAGACCTTTGACCTTAGATCTCAATGACCTCTCGAGCGAGTAGAGCATTTCTAAGAGACTTCTCACGCGGAAGCACCCCATGCAACCTTGCAGAACTGTGTTGAATGCCTTCCCCTGCTCCGCTATCGTTCCTCTTAGTCTTTCTTCCCAACGTCCCAAACCAGGAACGTGCTTCATGCTCTCTTCCCCCCCCCCCCCAAGCCCTAGCAAGAGGGAAGGGGCAAAGCGAATTTCCTTCTACATTTCGTAGCAATCGTGCCCTAGCTCTTTTCTTATCTTGAGGCGATTCTGCAAAATTTTCTTCAGTTCGGATTCTCTGTCAACTGATCTCTGAATAAAGAAAAAAACGAGGAGAAAGCCTGATTTTCGATGAATCAATAAAAAAAAAATACTTCGACGGAGTCACAACTGAAATGGGAAGCATGGATGCGGTTATCATCTGGGTTATTGAGGAAATAAATATCTAGCGTAACTGAATTCCTTTTGAGAAGAGAGCTGTAGATGGATTGAGCACCTGCCCCAATTGGAGACGAGTTTTCTTCGAAGGGGCGGTGGGCGATCTTGTGTGGCTCGGTAAGCAGAGAAAAAAAAACTCAGTTGTATGTAGCAGTTTAGACAGCAGGCATGTTTAATTATTGGGTTTTTGGGAGTGAATTTATCGAGTGAATCTTCGTTGAATAATTTATCGTGCTTGAGTGCCGTGATGTGCGCCCGTCTGATGATTCCTAAAGCCTGCTACAAAAGCATGCTTGCTAACTGGCAAGGATCATGAGGTAACGGAAAAACCACGGTTAATCGACAGATTTCAGACATCCCACTAATCGAAGCCTACCGCGCGAGGAGCTTGACGCCTGGCAACAGGATCAACGTCGTCGGTTCGGTGGCCCTCAGCTGGCAGGTGGCCTCCCTGTGCTGGTCGCTTTCGTCACTTCGTGGTCGGATACTGGGGAACCAGGTTAAGTCTGGATATAATCAAGTCCCTCAGATCGAAGCGGTTGAACGTGGAGATATTGCCGAAAGACAGATATTGCCCCGTGCCGCATTGGGGACGTTTGACTACCGGATGGTAAAAAAAAATTATATTGCCAGAGTCACAGCTGACTCTACGACCCACGTGTGTGCGATATCATTTTAATCCCTGGAACTACCTTCTGGGTCCAATGAATAAAAAAATTATCATAAAAAATTTAATTTAATTTAATTTAAATTTAAAGTAAATTAATTTAATTTTTATGATAATTTTTTTTATTCATTGGACCCAGAAGTAATTCCAGGAATTAAAATTAAAATGTTTTATCTAAAAAATGTTTAATCTGGATTTTGAACATTTAACCAGATGTTAGGTTGCACCGTAATTTTTTCGTATTTATCAAACTGCCGGTAGTAACCAATGAAATGTAATTTTGAATATTTTGCTTTATTTGTATTTTTTTTTGCTTTCTTGAATTGTAAAAATTGGAAGCTGGATCCAATGAACAAGGGTAAGACGTATTTCAAAATCTAGCGGGTAATTCCAAAGTTAAAGTTTGTTCTTTTCCATTTATGTGTATTAGATAAATTTTAAAATGAGCTAAGCAACAAGACAAGCCATGGAAACAACCTACTGCAACGAAGTTTGGTCAACCTCACGCACTATCTCCTCCTGAGGCAATATCTCTGGTCTGCCAGCATCAAATACTGCACAATAATCCTCATGGCTTTCTTTTGGATGTCTGTTACCACTGTTCATCTTCCTTCAGCTACCCATTTGCAGTATATGAACTCAGAGGCGAATTCCATGGCTTCACAATGCGCATTTTCTCGACTTCCGTCCATTCCGCTTTGTTGCTCAATATCACCGATGACAAACGCAGCTCTTTAAATATTTCATACGCCTGAAACTGGGAAAAGAATTAGCATAAAACTGGGGCTGTGCTGGTGGCAACATTTGACCGGTGGGCCGAAGGCCGATTTTTTCCTCATAACCATCGACAGGTGCCGGTGTCATTCGAGGACTGTAGAAGAAATCGCCTTTAAATTTCCTATTAGGCCCATTTGAATAAATGGGCCTAATTGGAAGGTATGTGATACTTATCAGTAGGCCTTATCGAAACGATAGAGACCAACTTTTGGTTCTGTCAAGCCTGTTGTGTCTCTATGAGGCTGTCAGCGGTTAGGTTGTTATCCATCGCTGCTGTTGAGAGCATTTCGTGACACATCTTCTCCACTTACGTTATGCTTG